GATCTGTCCCCTTAAGGTTCTTAGGTGCGGAAGTTTTCCGGACGCACTGGACAATTAGTTATCATATGTCCCTTTCTACCGCAATATAGGCATAACCCCTCCCTTCTCCTATACTGTTTTTCGGCCTCTGACAGTCTAGTGACCCCCAACTGCATAGGTTCGAGTTTGGACTGTACAGGGAGGTTAGACAAAACAGGTTTAGAGAATCGAGGTGCTAGGGACATAGCTGTACGTCTGGTCTTGCTTCTGGTGACTTCTCTGAGTCTTAACCTATTATCAATATGCATGACAAACGTAATACATTCGTTAAGACTCTTAGGTAATTCTTTAGCGGCTATCTCCTCTAGTATAGTCTCTGAGAGACCCTTTTTGAATGCTGAGATTAACCCATTGTTAGTCCAGTCTACCTCGGAAGCTAAGGTACGGAATTCAATAGCATAATCCGAGATAGACCGGTTACCTTGTCTGATGTGCATTAGGGCAGTGGAGGCGTCATCCTCTCTACCCAATGGCTCAAACGTGAGCTTGAATTCGGCAAGGAATTCCTGGTAATTATGAGCTATGCTCCGATTACTCTCCCACAACGGATTAGCCCAGGCAAGGGCCTTGCCCTTTAATTGATTCATTAGATAACCAATTCTTGCTCTGTCCGTGGGGAATGACCCTGGTGAGGCCTCAAAATGGTACTCCATCTGATTAAGAAAACCCCTGCATTCCTGGATATTGCCATCAAACTGTAGGGATGGTGATAAGGAGATGCTAGGAGTCCTATTAACAGTGGGTGGAAGTACACAGGGTAGAGGTGCTATAGGAGGAGACGCTGCAGGCTGCAGATGCTCCGTTCTAGCGAGAAGCGTACTTAAAGCCTAAGTGAATTGATCCATGCGGTGATCATTCTCCTCTAATTTCCTCTCGCAAGCAGCTATCTGCTGACACAGTTCTACAGGATCTATGGCCATGTCGTAATGTCAGGATTACTGTTTGATCCAGCACGTAGAACTGTACAGCACGGATAACAAATAAGTAACGTATTACCGGTCCTTAGAATGGCCGGATTTAACGTACAAAGAATAGTCAAAAATACTAGCCGAGGTCAGGGAACACAGAAAGGGACACAGTGATGAGGAAAGCCAGGAGTCAGGATACCAGAATATAGAGAAGTCAATAAACAAAGCCAAAGTCAAAAACCAGGTAGAAAACTATAAACAGGAACGCGCTCTCAGACAACCACAAGGGAAACCACGACAGGGCACTGAGCAGGCTGAGAACTGGGCCTAAATACCCCTCCTTTAGTTCTGATAGGCTGTAACCGGCCTTTGACCCCAAAGTCAGTTACCAGGTTTCATTTGCATAATTGCTGCTCAGCATTAACCCTTCTGTGGATTAGGTTGCTGCTCGGCACAACTTTTCTTGTGTGGACAGTAAATGTCATTAACCACTTTTCTATAAGCGGATGAATACATGACACCAGGTTTCATTTGCACAATTACTGCTCAGCATTAAACCTTCTGTGGATTAGGTTGCTTCTCGGCACAACTTTTCCTGTGTGGACAGTAAATGTCATTAACCACATTTCTATAAGCGGATGCATACGTGACAGTGATGCTGTCTGTAACTGTGTGTGTGTGACTGTCTTCCTGTAACTGTGTGCGTGACTGCCTATAACTGACTGTGTGTGTGTGTGTAACTGTCTGCCTGTGCCTATGTGATGTTGCCTGTAACTATGTGTGTGACTATCTGTGACAGTGTGTGTGACTTTGTGATCCTGCCTGTAACTCTGTGTGACTGTAACTATGTGTGTGACTGTATGCCAGTAACTGTGTGCGTGACTGTCTGGCTACGACTGTGTGTGACTGCTTGTAACTGACCGTGGCGGAACCTGTGTTTGGACTCCGACAGGTAGAAAAAGAGGTTTATTGATTTTAAAAAAGCATAATAAAAGAGTATTGGTCTTACGCGTTTTGTACACTATGGGACTTCATCAGAGACCAGTATACAATAAAAGACAATGATATTATCAATAATGCTCCCAAAAAAAGCAGCCTAATTCCACCCTCCCATCAGTCCCCTTAAATAGGGCTAATCCCTTTAGTTCATTGGTGGTTCCAGTGGGTGTTTTCCTTATTCATCTCCTCATTGGTGATTCCTGGATCCCCTTCATCCGTTGTTCATTCGAACATAATTGATGTTGTAATTCCAGCTGATCAGTATTTTGAGTACCACAAAACCGGAAGTGACATATCGCAACCACTTCTGTGCGTTCCAACTTGCGTTCCATTTGATATATCAAACGAATCCTTCTCCCCCGGTGTACTCTAGGGGAATTAGCTTTAAAAACACTTGGGGAAATAACAATAAATTAGCTGGAAGATATTGTTTCAATAAAGGACAACTTTAGATCTTAGAAATAAAGCACACTTGAATGTACAATTTCTATAAAGATTCCATAACTGACGTTATAATATGCACATTGATACCTCTGTGGTGCATCACTAAACAGATCATATAGGCAATCTGACTTTATATTATTGATTCTATAAAGAATTCTTGTTATTTCTTTCCAGCCTATATTACAAACAATATGTTTGAGTATTAAATGTTTAGCTTATGCTACAAAATGATAAAAATTTTATACAAACCTATACAATTAATGTGTTTTACACCCCACCTCCTATTTTTAAAGCTAATTCCCCTACAGTACACAAGGGGGAGAATGATTCTTTCGCGATATCAAATGGAACGCAAGTTGGAACTCACGGAAGTGGTTTCGATACGTCACTTCGGTTTTTTTCGTCGTACTCAAAATACTGATCAGCTCGAATTATAACATCAATTATGTACGAATGAACAACAGATGAAGGGGATAGAAACATAGAAACATAGAAACATAGAATGTGACGGCAGATAAGAACCATTCGGCCCATCTAGTATGCCCAATTTTCTAAATACTTTCATTAGTCCCTAGTCTTATCTTATAGTTAGGATAGCCTTATGCCTATCCCACGCATGCTTAAACTCCTTTACTGTGTTAACCTCTACCACTTCAGCTGGAAGGCTATTCCATGCATCCACTACCCTCTCAGTAAAGTAATACTTCCTGATATTATTTTTAAACCTTTCCCCCGCTAATTTAAGACTATGTCCTCTTGTTGTGGTAGTTTTTCTTCTTTTAAATATAGTCTCCTTCTTTTCGGTGTTGATTCCCTTTATGTATTTAAATGTTTCTATCATATCCCCCCATCTCGTCTTTCCTCCAAGCTATACATGTTAAGATCCTTTAACCTTTCCTGGTAAGTTTTATCCCGCAATCCATGAACCAGTTTAGTAGCCCTTCTCTGATCTCTCTATCAATATCCTTCTGAAGATACGGTCTCCAGTACTGCGTACAATACTCCAGGTGAGGTCTCACCAGTGTTCTGTACAATGGCATGAGCATTTCCCTCTTTCTACTGCTAATACCTCTCCCTATACAACCAAGCATTCTGCTAGCATTTTCTGCTGCTCTATTACATTGTCTGCCTACCTTTAAAGGACCACTCTAGGCACCCAGACCACTTCAGCTTAATGAAGTGGTCTGTGTGCCAGGTCCAGCTAGGGTTAACCCATTTTTTCATAAACATAGCAGTTTCAGAGAAACTGCTATGTTTATGAATGGGTTAAGCCTTCCCCTATTTCCTCTAGTGGCTGTCTCATTGACAGCCACTAGAGGCGCTTGCATGCTTCTCACTGTGATTTTCACAGTGAGAAGACGCCAGCGTCCATAGGAAAGCATTGAGAATGCTTTCCTATGTGACTGGCTGAATGCGCGCGCAGCTAGCCGACGGGGAGGAGAGAAGGAGGATCGGAGGACGAGAGCTCTCTGCCCAGCGCTGGAAAAAGGTAAGTTTAAACCCCTTTCCCCCTTCCAGAGCTGGGTGGGAGGGGGTCCCTGAGGGTGGGGACATGTATGAGTATGTTTTCCTGGCACTATAGTGGTCCTTTAAGTCATCAGAAATAATCACCCCTAAATCCCTTTCCTCATATGTTGAGGTTAGGACTCTATCAAATATTCTGTACTCTGCCCTTGGGTTTTTACGTCCAAGATGCATTATCTTGCACTTATCCACATTAAATGTCAGTTGCCACAATTCTGACCATTTTTCTAGTTTACCTAAATCATTTGCCATTTGGCTTATCCCTCCTGGAACATCAACCCTGTTACATATCTTAGTATCATCAGCAAAAAGACATACCTTACCATCAAAACCTTCTGCAATATCACTAATAAAAATATTAAAGAGAATGGGTCCAAGTACAGATCCCTGAGGTACCCCACTGGTGAAAAATCCAAGCTTTGGATATATTCCATTAACTACAACCCTCTGTTGCCTGTCACTCAGCCACTGCCTTACCCATTCAACAATATTGGAAGCCAAACTTAAAGATTGCAGTTTATTGATAAGCCTTCTATGTGCAACAGTGTCAAAAGCCTTACTGAAATAATTTTAGTTACCCAATCAAAACAATCAATAAGATTAGTTTGGCATGATCTCCCTGAAGTAAACCCATGTTGTTTCTGATCTTGAAATCCATGTGTTTTTAGATGTTCACCAATCCTATCCTTTAACATGGTTTCCATCACTTTCCCCACTACTGAAGTAAGGCTTACTGGCCTATAGTTGCCCGACTCCTCCCTATTACCTTTCTTGTAAATGGGCACAACATTCGCTAACTTCCAATCTTCTGGGACTACTCCTGTTAACAATGATTGGTTAAATAAATTTGTTAATGGTTTTGCTAGTACACCACTAAGCTCTTTTAATAGCTTTGGGTGTATTCCATCAGGTCCCATTGACTTATTTGTCTTTACTTTTGACAGTTGAAACAGAACCTCTTCCTCTGTAAACTCACGTGTAATAAATTACTCATTTATCTTTTTTCTCAACTCAGGTCCCTTTCTTTCATTTTCATCTGTAAATACAGAACAAAAATATTAATTGAGTTAGTCAGCTAGACCTTTATCCTCTTCTACATACCTTCCTTCTTTTGTTTTTAATCTAACTAATCCTTGTTTTACTTTTCTTTTCTCATTTATGTATCTAAAAAATGTTTTATCTCCCTTTTTTACTGACTGTGCTATTTTCTCTTCTGTGTGTGATTTGGAAGCTCTTATAACTTGCTTAGCCTCTTTCTGCCTAATCTTATAGATCATTTTGTCTTCCTCACTGTGGGGTTTTTTACAATTCCTAAATGCTAACTTTTTGTTTTTAACTATTTTGGCCACATATGTGGAGTACCACAGTGGTTTCTTGAATTTTTTGCTTTTACTGACAAGCCTAATGCAATTTTCTGTTGCCTTCAATAGTGCAACTTTTAAATAATCCCATTTCTCTTGGACTCCATTTAAAATGCTCCAGTCAGATAATGACTCCTCTACCCATATTCTAATTTTAGTAAAGTCTGTTTTTCAAAAGTCTAAAACTTTTGTTTTTGTGTGGTGTGACTCAGTCACTGTTCTTATATTAAACCACACTGACTGATGATCACTGGATCCTAAACTTTCACCTACAGTAATATCTGATACCAAATCTCCATTTGTTAACACTAAATCTAGTATGGCCTCTTTACGAGTTGGCTCCTCAACAACTTGTTTTAGAGACAATCCCAGTAGGGAGTTTAGAATATGTGTGCTCCTGGCACAAGTAGCTAATTTTGTTTTCCAATTTACATCAGGAAGATTAAAGTCACCCATGATGATAACTTCCCCCTTCATTGTCATTTTAGCTATTTCATCAACTAGTAGATTATCTAACTCTTCAATTTGTCCTGGGGGCCTATAAATCACACCTACACGAGTTACTGTGTGATTACCAAATTCTAACGTAACCCAAACTGACTCTATGTTTGCCTCACTAACTTTTATTAGGCTAGATTTTATGCTATCCTTCACATACAGGCCACCCCTCCCCTTTCTTGCCTTCCCTATCTTTCCTATATAAAGAGTACCCTGGTATTGCTATGTCCCAGTCATTTTTCTCATTATACCATGTCTCAGTAACAGCGACTAAATCTACACTATCAGTTGCCATTATTGCCACAAGTTCATGGATCTTATTCCCTAAACTGTGCGCATTTGTAGACATGACTCTAAGCATTTTTTAACACACTTGCTATAGGCAACCTCTGTCCTTGTTTTGGGGGACAATTGGATTGATGTTTTATCACCCTCTTGCCCCCCCCCTCTCCTAGTTTAAATACATCCTAGCAAAACCTCTGAACTGCTCACTGAGAACATCTGTTCCCTTTTGAGAAAGATGCAAACCATCTTTTTTGTACAGCTTATCTCCATTCCAAACAGATCTACCATGAGAAATAAAGCCAAATCCTTGCTCCCGACACCATTCACCAAGCCACAAATTAAAGTCCCTAATACGCATCCGCCTGTCGTTCTGAGTGTTATGCACAGGCAGAACTTCAGAGAATGACAGTGTGGAAGCAACCTGCCGTATATCATTGGCAAAAACACTAAAAACTTCCTTAACCTCTGAAACCTCATTGCAAGCCAAGTCATTTGTCCCTAGATGGACAAGTACATCCAATTCCCCTTCCTGCTTTGCTTGCTTAACAATATTACAGATACATCTCTCTCTGTGAGCAGTAGCTCCGGGAAGACACCCCACAAGACCACCATTGTCCATCTCCACACCTCTTATAATGGAATCCCCAACAACATCTGCTTTCTATTAGGCCTCACCATAATCTCCAAGCCGGTCTCCACAACACCACTAGCCTCAGTGCCTCTCCTCACAACACCACTAGCCTCAGTGCCTCTCTCTACAACACCACTAGCCTCAGTGCCTCTCTCCACAATACCACTAGCCTCAGTGCCTCTCTCCACAACACCACTAGCCTCAGTGCCTCTTTCCACAACACAATTACAATCTGAAAGTGCAGAAAATGAATTATGAAGAGCAACAGACTGTGCAAAATGCCTTTTATCCACAACTCTAAGTCTACCAGATCCTACAGTAATCCATCTGCCATTCCTAGTATGTCTATTATGGATCCAGGAACCAATGAGGAGATGAATAAGGAAAACACCCACTGGAACCACCAATGAACTAAAGGGATAGCCCTATTTAAGGGGACTGATGAGAGGGTGGAATTAGGCTGTGTTTTTTGGGAGCATTATTGATAATATCATTGTCTTTTATTGTATACTGGTCTTTGAGGAAGTCCCCTAGTGGATGAAATGCGTAAGACCAATCCTCTTTTATTATTCTTTTTTTAAATCAATAAACCTCTTTTTCTACCTATCTACCTGTCAGAGTCCTGCATGGTTCCTGATACTGGGTGATACCTGATCCTAAGAGGGAGATACTAGCCCCCCAAAACATTGAGGGAGGCACCAATAGAGCGAATATAATTTCAACATCCTTTTCATCAGCTGAATCCCACGTATATTGTATTTCTTGGTTTGTAGAAGGGAGCAGTACAAGGGTTTGTAGAAGGGGTTCAGGACAGGGGTTTTGTAGTAAAAGGGCAGGACAGGGGCTTTGTAGAAGGGGACTGACAGGGGTTTTACAAAGTTTACAAATTTGTGCAATACATGATAAAAAATTGTAGGTTTTTTTTTGGAGTTGGGGTGAGTGGGGGATGGAATGGTGGGGGGGGAAGAGGTGCCAAACACAGGATCCGCCCCGGGTGCCACATGCTCTAGGTACGCCCCTGAGTAAATGTCTATTTTGTGCATTTACACGTACTATACTTTGTTATTATGAAGGATAGATAGGTCATTCCTTTGATTATACACAATTTCACTACTGTAGCTACAAAATAAGTGCTTCCAAATAAAATGTATGTATTTATTCTGATTTATGGAGTACATAATATGTCTAGGATTTCCTCTATTTCCATAGTTACAGATCATAAATTAGGAGAGCGATATCCTTTCAGTAGTTTGTTTTTTTACCTTTTATTCTCAGTCCAGAGGAAATACAGCACCTCATCCAAGTACACATCAAACATAATTGTATAATAAATATCATATGCACACTGAAAGCAGAATCATAGGATTGAGGTGCTTTATAAAAGAATATAAAATATTATGACACAATATCTCGCATGGGAGAGGAAAACACTAGAGTACAATCATTTCTGTGCAGGACTATATAGCCTATAGATAGACGCCCCTTAAAGGTATTCTATAGTGTTAGGAATACAAATACACCCTCCTTTGCGTCCCCCTCTTGTGCTTAAGGGTTAAAAAACCCTTTAGTCCTTTATTTGAATTCAGCCCCACCTCCTCTGATGTCATCCAACGGGGGGAGGGGAAAGGGTTAATGTGCATGCACGGGAAGAACTGCAGGCTTCTCCACAGGAAGGCATTGCTTCAATGCTTTCCTATGGAGTTTTCCCTGATGCTGGATGTCCAGAATCAGTCAGACGACCAAAAGTCTTCTAGCAAGCAGGAAGCGTCTCTAGTGGCTGTCTGACAGCCATTATAGGTAGGGTGACCACATCCACCATGTTTACAGGGACGCATATAAGTTTTTCATATTTATAAAAATGCATGAAAAGGGGTGCCGTGCATTATGCATATTGCATATTCTGCATTATTACCGACTGACTAATTTTCTAATTGCAGGATTCTTCATTGGCTTATTGCTTAATCTAATACACCTTCTTCTGAATTTTACATTCTACAGGGCTACTCTTTTCATATGCTGCCCACCAATATGTATATGTGATATATGTCCTAGAAAACATGGTGGATCTGGTAACCCTGATTTATAGGCAGTCTTAGTCCTTCAATGTAATTATTTCAGTTTCTCAAAAAAACAATAATTTACATTGCAGTAACATGGGGGACAGGGATACTGCTCCTAGACCACTTCATTGAGCTGAAGTAGTCTGGGTGTCTATAGTGTCCCTTTAAATTGAAAAATTAAACAAAAGCTAAAAATATAGCAGGGTATAATTATTACTTACTGGTTCTCACTTCAGCAAAGGAAACATGCTGGAACAACCTAACCCTGTTTCATGCTGCACAACCAAGATATTGCTCCATTGAACTTAAAGGGACACTGTTGGCACCCAGACCACTTCAGCTCATTGAAGTGGTCTGGGTGCAATGTCACATGTTACTTAACCCTACAGTGGTAATTATTGCAGTTTTTGAGAAACTGCAATAATTACATTGCAGGGTTAAAGGGACACTCCAGGCACCCAGATCACTTCTGCCCATTGGGGTGGTCTGGGTGCCAACTCCCACTACTCTTAACCCTGCAAGTGTAATTATTGCAGTTTTTTATAAACTGCAATAATTACCTTGTAGGGTTAACTCCACCTCTAGTGGCTGTCTACTAGACAGCCACTAGAGGGCACTCCTGGATTATCGCACAGAAAACCTGTGCTAGAGTGTCGCTGGACGTCCTCACGCTATGTGAGGACCTCTAGCGTCGCTCATTTTCCTATAGGAAAGCATTGAAAAGCATTTTCAATGCTTTCCTATGGGGAGCTCTAATGCGAATGCGCGGCATTGCCATGCATGAACATTAGGTCTCCCCGGCCGGTGGGCGGGGTCAGTCTCACCCACTGGCCGACGCAATCACAGGAAGGAGTGGCACGGAGGAAGAAGCAGCGACGTGGGAAATCGTCGCTGCCTCAAGTAAGTCACCGAAGGGGTTTTCACCCCTTCAGCAACCAAGGATTGGGGGGTGGGAGGGACAGGGGACCTGCAGTGCCAGGAAAACGGATTGTTTTCCTGGCACTGGAGTTTCCCTTTAAGTCCTCTTCTAGTGGCTGTCTAGAGGGACTTCCTAGTGCTTAGACGACCTTTGGTCGTCTAAATGACGCTGGATGTCCTCATGCTATGCATGAGGACTTCCAGCGTCACTGTAATCATAGTTACATCAAGTTCACCCTTCCTCACATTTGTTTTTGCTGTTGATCCAAAAGAAGGCAAAAAATCTCACGGTTATTCCCATCCCAATTTCACTGCATCTACAAGTCTAACTCTAGAGGTACTTCTATTTTTTTTAGTAGGAAGGTGGCCAGCTCTACAGATAAGATACTGATGGATGATGACGGGAGATACATACTGTGGGTCGGTAAAGTTAACAACGTTTTATATACAATTGTCAATGTGTACTTCCCCAACACAGGTCAGCTAACTTTTTTTAGGAGAATAATGGAACTGGTGAATGAGAACATGAAAGGG